TGAATTTTTATATATACATCATACATACTGTAGTTGTGTATTTCTAACTATTATAGAAGTGCTTCAAGTTTCCCATTAATACTAATGTATAGCCAGAAAACTCTGAGATTCTCCCAGGCCAACTCCACTACATGTTTAGTGGAGAAATAAGTAGTCCAAGGTCATCGAACTGTAGACATGCAATCGGGTTTGCTGTCATTCAATTTGGTGGAGTGCTGCTCACCTTTCACAAAAATGATAAACCTTCGTTCTGGTTTAAGAACCTTCATAAAGCCTTTATATTTACATTTCTATGGTTTGTATTACTTTGACGTTTAATGCAGTTACACAAGGGGTGGGAGGGTGTTAATTTTTTGAAAAATCTAAAACCTCCAAAACTTTTTTTACCCTCTTCTAAGTCTTTCCATTTACCGCTGTCTCTTTGTTGTTAGGTATAAAAAAATATATGCTTGTGTGTGATAGAGATTAAAAACGTAGAGAATCTGTACTGCAAAGTACCGGGACAGAGTTTTCTTGATCTCTCAGGAAGCCCATTATCCAGAAAGTAATAACAGATAACACATAAAGAAGCCAAGATTGTCAAAGTTACAAGAGCTGCCACTACATTAAAGAGTCTATTTATAAATGTTATCACGCAAAATTCACACAACTTTCACCCAGGATTCACATTTCTAGTTAAAGTCAGTTTGCAAAATATATGAATCCTGGGTAACAGTTGTGCGAATTTTGTGTGATAACATACTGAAATCCAGTGCTATACTGTTAAAGGCAAATGATGATTTTGTTCCACAGTATAGTACTTTAGCACAGTGCTCTTTTCCTTTTGGCCCACTTCACCTTTAGCTTTCTTGATGTGCTGCCAGAGCATTAGAGAAAATAAAGATATTCTCCGTTATCTGAATGGACCACAGTGTGTGAAGTTGTATTGACAGACTTGGCTCTGTGTTTTGGACACAAGCTTTCTGACCATAATCAGTGAAATAATTAAAGTGTTACTAAACCCAGGACCCTGCATTCACTATATCTGATCTCCCACAGTACACACAACATGGAAATGCGATTAATTTAGTAAATATAAACTGCTAAATACCTTTTCTCATCAGCAGTTAGAGCAGTCTTGTGACTTCTATCACTTTCCAGCCAAGCACTGATTAAAGCTTGTAGGAGGAGTTTTCATTTTGCTTTAGGAGGATGCAGAACCTCTGACCTCTTTCTGGACAGTGCCTATTGGCCCTATGCTGATCACATGCACTCCCCCAAGAAAAAAAAAACCTCTCTAGCAATACATACCAAGCTGAGCATGTGTAGAGTGTCTCCACTTGATATATCAGGGGGGGACACTGAAAGAAGGGGAGGATCAGAAAAGACAGGATCAAACAGCATTTTTACACAATGCAGAGGATTAACCCTGTAGGTTCCACAGTGAGTATAACAAGCATGCTTTACTGCATATATAGACTGATTTTACTGTTGTTGGTTTATTAACACTTTAATATAGGTAGGTATTATAAAAAAGAATTCACAAACAGGTAATGATAAATATTTTTAAACAGCGCGCTAGAACCCCTATTTTTCTTTATACAAACTAAAACATTGATCCTTCTTTTAGCAGCTGGAGTCAATTTACTCCCCTCACAGAAAGAAATGATAATGATAGAAGTGATCAGCGCTCTCAAAATAATAAGTTCAATATTATCTCTGTATAACCGAAAATTAGACATCATACATCCATCAACTTCTTGTGAATCCAATCTTCCCATACAGTGATCTTCAAAAAAGAAATATAGTGTAGTATGCTCAATACACCATGCTTCAAATCCTGTCCAATGTGCTCACATTTATAATAAAAAAACAATGTGTGTATTTGTTCACTAGTGGTCTGCTTTATCTACCCCTACCATTCATATACATGGTGTATATGTAATCAAATATTTTCAGATTCGCTTCAAATCTGTGTCTCCTTGTGTCTGGTACTTCAATTGTCGTCTCACATGAAGATCCACACGATTTCATTCAAAATACAAAATACCAACATAGTGCAATACTGTTTTCTAAAAATCTCTCCCAGATAGAAAGCCACTCACATTATAATATATTAACTATGCATTCCCATTAATACCTATAGAAGGATCCACCAAGTGTATCACCTTGCCAAAGACACTCCAAGCTCCTTACCGAACTTCCAATAAACTGCTTTTAATAAACCATTCCACCTTGTTCGTGCTCTTTGCCAGCGTGGCATGTGTGAATGGTCCCCAAAAAAACAAAGACTAATATAGTGTGATATTGCTTAAAAACAAAGCATAAAAATAAAATTTACTAAACCCACAACAGTAAAATCAGTCTGTATATGCAGTAAAGCATGCTTGTTATACTCACTGTGGAACCTATGGGGTTAATCCTCTGCATTGTGTATGGTTGATCCTGACTTCTCTGCCCCTCATCTTGTTCAAATGTCCATACTGATAAGACAGACTGAATTCGTAGCCCTTCTGCACATGCTCAGTTTAGTGTGTATTGCTAGAGAGGTTTTTTTTTTTTCCTTGGGAGAGTGCATGTGATCAGCACAGGGCCAATCAGCACTGTCCAGACATAGGTCAGGGGTTCTACATCCTCGTAGAGCAGAAAGAAAACTCCTCCTACAAGCTTTAACCAGTGCTCTGCTGAAGTCACAAGACTGCTCTAACTGCTGATGAGAAAAGATATTTAGCAGTTTATATTTACTAAAATAATTGCATTTTCATGTTGTGTGTACTGTGGGAGACCAGATAGATTAAATGCAGGGTCCTGGGTTTAGTAACACTTTAAAACCACTTATATTTCAATACCACCAAAATAGTGCACATTCCTTTAAATGATACAGATCCACCATATACATGTGTTTATTAGTGTCACTCCTTACCAGATCGGTGTCTTTCAAATCACTTTCCACCAAACTCCTCCACCTTCAACAGTCCCCTTCTTAATCTTAAGTCCAGCTTCTCTCCATGGTTCCCATGCAAGATATATCATACAGAGGCCATAGTGCAATAAATCCTTTTTTAAAAAAATATATTTATTAAAATCTGTGCACTTACAAACATCCAGTGTGAAAAATGCCTGTAACCACTTCCAAAATGTCTGACATCCTTGGAAGAAGTCTTGATGACTAAAACTCCTGTGACCACTTCCAAAATGTCTGACATCCTTGGAGGAAGTCTTGATGACAAAAATGCCTGTAACCACTTCCAAAATGTCCGACATCCTTGGAAGAAGTCTTGATGACAAAAACGCCTGTAACCACTTCCAAAATGTCTGACATCCTTGGAAGAAGTCTTGATGACAAAAACCCTGTAACCACTTCTAAAATGTCCAATATCCTTGGAAGAAGTCTTGATGACAAAAACTCCTGTAACCACTTCCGAAATGTCCAACATCCTTGGAAGAAGTCTTGATGACAAAAATGCCTGTAACCACTTCCGAAATGTCCGACATCCTTGGAAGAAATCTTGATGACAAAAATGCCTGTAACCACTTCCAAAATGTCTGACATCCTTGGAAGACGTCTTGATGACAAAAAAACGCCTGTAACCATTTCCAAAATGTCCGACATCCTTGGAAGAAGTCTTGATGACAAAAACGCCTTTAACCACTTCCAAAATGTCCGACATCCTTGGAAGAAGTCTTGATGACAAAAACGCCTTTAACCACTTCCAAAATGTCCGACATCCTTGGAAGAAGTCTTGATGACAAAAACGCCTGTAACCACTTCCAAATGTCCGACATCCTTGGAAGAAGTCTTGATGACAAAAACGCCTGTAACCACTTCCGAAATGTCCGACATCCTTGGAAGAAGTCTTGATAACAAAAACGCCTGTAACCACTTCCAAAATGTCCGACATCCTTGGAAGAAGTCTTGATGACAAAAACGCCTGTAACCACTTCCGAAATGTCCGACATCCTTGGAAGAAGTCTTGATAACAAAAACACCTGTAACCACTTCCAAAATGTCCGACATCCTTGGAAGAAATCTTGATGACAAAAACCCCGTAACCACTTCCAAAATGTCTGACATCCTTGGAAGAAGTCTTGATGACAAAAACGCCTGTAACCACTTCCAAAATGTCTGACATCCTTGGAAGAAGTCTTGATGACAAAAACGCCTGTAACCACTTCCAAAATGTCTGACATCCTTGGAAGAAGTCTTGATGACAAAAACGCCTGTAACCACTTCTAAAATGTCTGACATCCTTCGAAAAAGTCTTGATGACAAAAACGCCTGTAACCACTTCCGAAATGTCTGACATCCTTTGAAAAAGTCTTGATGACAAAATGCCTGTAACCACTTCTAAAATGTCTGACATCCTTGGAAGAAGTCTTGATGACAAAAATGCCTGTAACCACTTCCAAAATGTCCGACATCCTTGGACGAAATCTTGATGACAAAAATGCCTGTAACCACTTCCAAAATGTCCGACATCCTTGAAGAAATCTTGATGACAAAAATGCCTGTAACCACTTCCAAAATGTCTGACATACTTTTAAGAAGTCTTGATGACAAAAATGCCTGTAACCACTTCCAAAATGTCCGACATCCTTGGAAGAAGTCTTGATGACAAAACCAGTCAGAAGTGACGCCAGAATTGACACAATCACATACGCTGGAAGTGCCGCAGCAGCCATTTTGGAGGTGGTTTACAGGCATTTTTTTACACTGAATGTTTGTAAGTGCATAGATTTTAATAAATATATGGTTTTATAAGGATTTATTGGACTATGGCCTCTGTATGATATTGCTTGCCTGGGGACCCTGGAGAGAAAAAGTTTGCAAGTGTATGCAGACATGAATGCTTACATTATAAATATTAAACAAGATATTGATTAGCATTATGGAGGCTTTCAAAATACTCAGAAAATGCTGAGAAATTACAATAAATTTAGCTACATGTTACTGTTTGGCATGTAACTTTGTTACTTTCATTTGTAAACATATCTAATTTTGTAAATGTTCTTTTCCTTAGGCGTAGATCCTACGGAAGACTACGGGAAGACCCAGATTATGGCTCTTTAGGAAATTATAACAATCCATTGTATGATGACTCTTGAAGAAGGAATTTGATTCTGAAGAAGAACAAACATGCTGTCTGTTTTACTGTTGTGCTGGGTCGCACCAACAAATACGCTTTACCTTTGACTTCTCAGGCCTGTTGAATTGTATGTCTGCTGTGCATTGAACAAAATAAGGAGCATGCATTCAGATTAATCAATCACCACTCTTCATTAAACCCATGAACTGCGCCCATTCACCTCCAGTATGATTATACACTCCCCGGTAAGATAAAAACAAAGGGCCTGATATCAAGAAGGAAAGTAATGATTCTATATTTTATTATTAAAGTGTAATTTTGCACAAATAAAATATTTGATTTATTTCATTTTTTATGTAAGCATCAGCATTTAAAAAGCACTTTTAAGGTGGCCTAAACAGTAAGTTTGCATATAGATGGATAAATGTTATATGTTGTTTATAACACATTTGCTTTATAATGCTTGAAATGCCTGGAACACATTGGCTTAAATGTTTTTTACGAAGGACCTGAATTGTTAAAGCTGTGCCCCCCCCCCCCCAAAAAAAAAAGGGAAGGCAGAAGTTAAAGGACTAGTCACCTGTATTGCCTGTAGGTATCTGACCTTTCCCCAGTAATGACTTACCATGCCTGTGTTCGGTACTGGAACTTTGTGTGGAGGTGACCAACTTAATAGAAGCAGAACTTTGCTTCCTCATGTCAAATCCGTGACCCCTAGTGACTGGTAATGTGATGACTGTCGGGGTGATCAAGAAGCAGCTGAAAAGGTAGAGAAAGCATAGGTTCACAGAAATTATGAAACATAAGCAAGGGGATCCTTGCACTTCACACATTCAAGTACAGATTCCTTAAAGTGTTACTAACCCCACAACAGTAAAATCAGTGTGTATTTGCAGTAAAGCATGCCTGTTATACTCACTGTGGAACCTAAGAGGTTAATCCTCTGCATTGTGTAAAAAGGCCATTTGATCCCCTTTGTTCGCCCCTCCTCTTGTTCAAATGCCCATGTCTTATCTCCTGATAAGACAGACTGAATCTGTAGCCACATGCACATGCTCACTTTGGTGTGTATTGCTAGAGAGGTTATTTTTTTTTTCTTAGAAGAGTGCATGTGATCAGCACAGGGCCAATCAGCACTGTCCAGACAGAGGTCAGGGGTTTTGCCTCCTCCCAGAACAGAAAGAAAACCCCTCCTACAAGCTTTAACCAGTTTCTCTGCTGAACACTGATAGAAGTGACAAGACTGCTCTAACTGCTGATGAGAAAAGTTATTTATCAGTTTATATTTACTAAAATAATTGCATTTCCATGTTCTGTGTACTGTGGAAGACAAGATATAGTGAATGCAGGGTCCTGGGTTTAGTAACACTTTAATAACATAGAGAACAGTGAGCAGCACAGTAATGACATCACTAAATCTCCCTCCAAATCATGCAAGACTAGCAATCAAAGGCAAAGTAAACTTTAAATTCAATTAACTTTTCCAGGGTTTTGCTTATGCACAAGTACCATTTCTAGATGTTCCCTATAACATTGCAACTCCTCATTTTTAGAGTTTAGTGCAGAGAATTAAAATGGAAAACAGTTCATATTCCACATCCTTTTGCTATTGTATAGTAGCTCAGGTCATGGATATTTTGATATTTTTACACACCTAATAGGAATGGGTGTATAATCACCTTGACATCCAGTTTGCACTTTTAAATCGTATGCCAAACAATTCTGAAACTCTTAGGATTGCTTCTTCCTCTCTATCCACTGTTATTTTTGTAGAACATCTGTAGGAAATCTCACACCCAGATATTGGGAGATGCCTTCTATAAGCTTTTTGAGGTGTTCATCCTAGGAAATAAAGCTAAAGCAGCAAAGGCATAGATGTGAACGTTTTTCTCTATGTTTTTCACCAGTCATCGCTTGGTGGAATTTCCTTGAATGCACGTCACAGCTTTATAACATTCATTATCCATTTGTGCTCTAAAATGCTATCCAATATATAAAAAATTACCATGACCATTTTTCATGGTTTTGCATCCTTTCCTTATCTTTATATTTTCAGGTTTTTTTATTTTCACAAATGAGCTCCTCGAAGCATATGAACAAAGTTTTGTTTGAGATATAAGGTCACCTCTTTACCCTTCACCTTCAGTGGTGCAGTCTATGGCTTACACATAGCCTCCAGTGCTGCTAGACCCGTGTAACTACGCCCTGCAATGATCACAATCCAGGGACATAGATGCTGAGGCAGACCACGCCAACTAGTCTTTAGCCTGCTGGAATATTTCAGTGGTAGTACACAGTGACATGTGCTAGACAGTACACATGACAGTGCTAGAGACCTTGCGATGTTGGGGGAAGGAAGGAATTCAACTTTTACTTGCAAGATAACCCACATGTGCCTACCTTTACTTTTTTAGCCCAAGGTACAGTTATCATTTAGTTCTTGATATTTCTGTTTTATCATGGTTTTGTGTAAATTTTGTCATACTCAGGGGCAGACAGACCATTTGGAAACTCGGGCACTGCCCGAGGGCCCGGGGTCAGAAGGGGGCCCCATGAGATGTCCCTGGTACCTTTTTCATAGGCTTTTTTGAGTTTGGGGCAAGGACACAGGGGCCGCATGATCCCCTATTGCCCGGTGGCCCCATGAGTTGTCAGTCCACCCCTGGTCATACTGTATGTTTTATCATTTTGTGGAATCATTTTTCTCACTCAATCACCTTTATATACTGGTATCTTATAGAAGTAGAAGAGTGGAAGCATTGTACCAAGAAGTATTACATCAATGTGCCTTTTTAAAGGTTAAATCAGGGACTGATATAGAGACTGCCATAGTTAGCTATTCTAAGCATCTATTTTACAACAGTCCTCATTTCCAGCAGAGAGAAATAATGTGTGTTAAATTAATTATGTTCAACTTTTACGGTAGGGCCCCCAAACACTTACGCCCAAAGAATATGGCTTCCACCAGAACTCCATACAGAGAATAAAATAGCACGAAGACCACCAAATTTTATTTTGGGATCTGTGTTAAAAGAATGGGCTATTGCGGTGGTAGTGTAGATTACAGAATGAGATTAAAATTATGTATTTTCTCCTGCATTTCAAATCATATTCCATTATGTTTAAGTATTCAACTGTGATTTTATCAGAAATCTATTTTTTCAAGAAACCATCAAACTTAAGGATCCATAAAGGGCTGTTAGTAATTAGGTCCAATGCTTTGTGTGTTTTAATGTCCCCTGTTTGTTCTTGCTTGCCAAATATCCACCTTTTTTACACCAATGAAAATATCCTAAATGATACCTGACATATATTGATATTAAAGTGTTAATACTAATATATAGATTACAAGAATTTGCTTGACAACCCACATTACAGTATCATTCACTAATTTGGAAAACAGATCAAAAGTGTATGAATTATTTATATTTTAGCTTGTTGTTTTGTTAGATGCAGATTGTGACTTTCCAAAAACTATATCTCATTCTCAATAGTAATGGCAACTGCCAAGTAACTTTTTCAGCCACTGGATTTAAGGGAATGCAAAGTCATTACCCTGGACATGTATATCTATTATGCCTTCTGTATATTATTTGTTTGCCAATGTCAGCAAATAAATTATTGATGCTAAAAGATTGAAAAGGGTCATCATTTTTAGAACAAATTGAATGGCAATTGGTAATTAAGAATGTGTGCTCTGTGCCTCTGGTACTTTTTTTCTGATGATGTCAAATAGAAAGAACAAGCTAGTACTGAGACCCATAAGAAATTACAGTTTTCCTTGCCATATCCAAGCCCGATGGGATCCTGAGACTTCAGACACATTGATCTACAAAAACTTTGTGTATTGAAGGATATGCCACTGCAATACGGTATGTGAGGATTTTCTGCTTGTTTCAGTAATATTAGTTTCAAAGTTAGCAGAACTTTCATATATTTAGAATTGGTAAATGGAGAAGGCATCTGGCAAGGCTCTGCAATAGGCTGCCGTGACAGTAGTTTTGACAGCAACTAGCAGTTTTTAGACTTTTAGAAGTGAGAACTAAATGGTACAATTGACATAATTATAGTCTGTCATGGTAAAAAAAAATGCTGCAGCTGTGAAGTTTAGGTAGCTAGAGGTGCCTACACATACCTGTGGTACTTACCTCTTATGCTCACCCACTGCTCTGACAAGCAAAGCTCCAACATTTTAGGTAGCCCCACACATTTATGTTGGTTCATCACCAAGTTGAGCAGTCTTACTGGCTAATATTAATGTACTGGAGGCACCAAGGGGTGAGCAAGCTTCCTCCCTATCTGGAGTTTTGGAAGCTTTGCCAGTCAAATAGACGTTAGATTAGGCCATGGTAGGAAGATTTGGGAGGCTGCAGCATTTATGCCAGGGCATTTTAACTTTATACATGCAGCAGGTTTGTGGGGTTTTTTTCACATGCCATAGTCTATTTAATTTTCTAACAAAGAATATGAATTTACTGGCACTTGCCCCCATATGTTTCAGTGATTCTAATCATTTCATTTTGTAAAATTTATCATTATAAATTATTATTTTTTAGTCTGTATATTCCAGTTTTTTTCAGAATAGTCTTACATTGAGATTCTATTCTAACAATCTATTTTTTTTTCCAGTAGAAAATGTTTATTCAGATTTTATATGTTGTACAGGTCAAGTGAAAAAAGAATAAATTGCACAAGCGTAAAAGGCACAATAGTAATAACAGATAGGGAATACAAAGAGGTAGTTTCATAAGGTTTAGGTTACATTTCTCTGAAAGGCATGAGCAGAGCATACCAAATTTGTTTGAAGCAATGGAGGGGGATCTGTTTTTTGTATTCATTATAATGAGACAAGATTGCATGACCATTACAAAACATATCTATGTTCATCATCTGTATTTTTGCCTTTGCCAGTGCAAACAAATCTTTACAAAAATGCAGCCAACATCATCTACTGAACTACATCTCCCTTGGAGTGAACTGTCCTCTGTTGCTTCTCAAAACCTCCCATGAACTGAAAGA